TAAATTTGCTTGCTGCTTGCGATTTACAAGGTCCTTAGTTGCAAAGAAAGGGTGTTGCAAGGTGCAGCAGCAGGCTGCGTGTCGGGGAAAGAGCGAAAGTACGGAGAGTGACTGGAGATGGAGAGAAAAAGGACTAGAAGTACAAAAGCCTGCTGGGGGGCACGCGAGTAAGCTGGGAAAATGAATGTACTTACTTGTATTGTACCTGCAAGGCGGCCGTCGCCAACCCTTAAGCTAACCTTAGCAAATTCTCGAATCTCATAGGCTGTCGCGAGCGCGGTACCTTGTCTAGGCTCATCCTGGCCCCCGGCCTCTTTCCTGCTGAGGCCCTGGGCCCTGTAAACTTGGTATATACTTGGTGTACTTTACCACTGTACCTGTGGATTTTATTACTGGTGCTTTTTTTTTCTCGCTCTTTCGCACGCCGTTTCTACTTTTTGCGTGGATGCTCTGACCCGCGCTGGGGCCGATGTCTTAAAAGTACCTGTTAAACCAATCCATCTCTTCCAATCCTTTTTCATCTCCTCCATCCTCCTCCAACTTGAGGCCATCTCCTAACTCTCTCCTTCCTTTCCTCGTCCTCTTTATCCGATCCATTCATTTTCCTCCTCAACGACCACTTATCCTTACTATCGTCTCCTTGTCCATTCCAAGGAGGAAAGGAGGAGAGAGAAATCCCGGGCCTTTACGACAGCGCAAGACGAACAGGGTAGAGCCGAGATAATAGCAGAAGAGAGAGAGAGACGCAAGTCAAATAGATGAAGAGAGAAGCAAAAAATTAGGATTTTTGCTTTAGAACTTTGATAATTTTATCCTCTTCAGAAATCCTTCCAGGTAATAACCAATATTTCTGGAATTCGAATTCCTGGGTCTTTTTTATCTGACCAGGAATCTCCCAATTACCACCAAAAAACCCTCCCTACCTCAACTTCATCCCGTCCATCAGTCCCTTCCCCCCCTTCTTTCAATCCGTCAAGGCGGTTCGACTCCCTCTATCCCGTCCCGTTCTCCATTCCTCGACCGAATACCCTTCATCTCCTCCCCCTCCGCTCAATTAGATCGCCCCAAGGAGAGTAGTCTTGTCTAGCTTGCTGGGCAGACACAAGGCAATTCGAATCTCCTAATTCTCCCTCGTGCCAACGGTACCAGGAATCTGACTCTGGCTCATCGCAATTACTCCAGAAGAATATCGGTATTAGACTCCACACCGAGTCTACTACTGATTCGAGGATCTCATCCACGAGCCCTACATGAACCCGGTCGCTCGACTATAATCCATTAGAAGCGTGCAAGTGCAAAGGTACGTTTGAGAAGATAGCATTATATCCCAAAAAGGAAGAGAAGGGGAAAAAGAGGGCATTGGGCATTTTGCGAAAAGTCCAAAAGATTCATATTCTGATATTGGTTCCCTCCCTGCGCAGGTACATACCGACGGTCCACCTACAGTGTTCCAACGGTGTACTCGAACACTCACGCACGCTTCAATCGGCGCCGTCGAGCAGAAAAACGCTTGCCCTCGTGGGACTCGTTAACTCGCTGTTCCCACCAAATTCATTCAGGAATCACTTAATTTCCTGTGATTAATCGTGGCGGTAAGGGAGACCCTTCTTCAGCGAAATTATAACACAGACCAACGTCATTTTGTATGCACGTATGCTGCATTAAATACTCCATCGAGGATCAATTGCCTGCCAGACGTTTTGCTGCGTGCCAGGAACAGATCCCCACATCATTGTCCCTCGAATCAGAATGCTTGGTGTTCTGCCCCTGATCGTGTGGTTCCAGAAGACCGTGCCCTGTTCCGCCTGGCCTGGTTTTGGTCCATCATGTCTCTCCTTGTTCTCAATTGGGTTATTGGTTTTTGACGCTAATACTTTTCCACTCCAGAGCCTTTTACTCGACATCTCTTTTTTAACGGCCGCACCTCCGGCCCTCTTTCACCAAAACATTTCACCGTCTTTCGGAAGCCATTCGGCCATAGTCATTCCTTAATTTTTTTCGTCTTTTACTGCGTACAGTTCATCACGCTCATTAATATCGTAATAATCGTGTCGTTCGTCCCAGCCGGAATAATACACTCTTTCGATTTCCTCCTGCGACGACCACTCTAATATACTACAACTAACATACACTCCTTCCACTGCATCAAGATTCCTGGAGAACCTAATCGTCACTCTTTTTTAAAGATCACGTCCCAGTATTGAACCTACCCGGCGATATTACTCTTACCGCAGTCTACTCAATCATCCCGTCAATCCCGTCACCATGGCCTATTCAAACTCAACCGACAGCTGTTTCTTCGTCGAATCCGATGAGCCTCGGCAACCTCGAATCAGCATGAAGGATGCGGCAAAGATGCTAGCCCGAAACCGACAAGAGATGATTGCCAATGAGCTATCCCGCCTAGCCGGCGACGAGTATCTCGAGGATGTCATGCAGCACATGAGGCACATGGAGGTTGGTGTTTTAAGATTACTATCTCCACTTTTCCCTATCCAAGCATTCCCAATTAATACAACGATGGTGGTTGGTATATACTCTTATAGCTAACAATTGGAATAGGACGAGACGCTACCGGATGCCAATCTAATTGACATGCAGCGAGAGATCCAATGGTTCATGAGGCCTTACCTGATTGACTTCTTAATCGAGGCTCATGCTGCATTTGCCCTCCTGCCGGAGACTCTGTTTCTGACTGTGAACTTGTTAGATCGGTACTGTTCAAAGCGAGTGGTATATAAGCAGCACTATCAATTAGTCGGATGCGCCGCCCTTCTCATCGCTGCCAAATATGGCGACAAGAAAGATCGGGTACCCCAAATCAACGAGTTGAACAATATGTGTTGTGGTCTTTACGATTCAGGAATGTTCACGCAGATGGAGATGCATGTCCTTAATACGCTCGAGTGGACTATTGGACACCCGACTGTCGACTTCTTTACGCAACTTATCGTCGCCGAGGAATCCGATGACCGCGAAGTTGAGCACATGGCCGCCTATCTCTGCGAAATTGCATTGTACCATCGAGACTTCGTTTCCACGAAGCCGTCGATTATGGCACGTGCCTCGCTCGCTCTCGCACGCGCGATACTCGGACGACCTGAAGTCAACGATGGCGAATGGGATCACGTGGAGAATGTTACGGTCCTCGCTCTATCTCAGCACTTGCACCAGCCATCAGTTACGTTATCAAGGAAGTACTCATCTCACCACCTTTCCCGCGTCTCGGGAAAGCTTGCCGAGTTTCTTGCACAGCAAGCCGCTATTTCCCGTCGAGCGCAAGGCCCACCCTCGCCTCCCGCGGAGCCTACTCTGTCAGCGCAACACTCAAGCATATATAGCACTCCTTCAAAAGGGCACGGTGCCGCCATTGGTGTCGCGGATGGATATCTGACGCCACCTATCACGCCCGACGGTGTTAACTTTGGTGTTGGTGTTGTCACAGACCCAATGAACAAGTATGTCCCGCCCAGGTGTCCGGTCACTCCTACACCTCAACCTCCCAGTGCGACCGGGTATCAGCAGCAGCAACAACAACAACAACAGCCCCCCGCGCAGCAGTACTCCAACTACTCATATGAGGAATACAGTGGCCCGATGGTCTCGTGATGGTTGCCATAGCTTGGACAGCATCTCTACGGATTCGAAGTAGATTCACCTTATCAATTCTATCATACCAACGATTCGTTTTAAGACTTATCGCATGGATGTGTATCATTGGAAGAAAAAAGATTGTTGCATAATTGACGGTTTAGGTTCATATCCATGGCATCAGCGACTTGTTTTTATTTTCAAAATTTTTCTCTTTTATTTTTCTCAGTCATACCCATTGAGCGTGCCATTGTTGCGTCAACCACTTAAGCGAACGATTGTCGACCAAAAAAATCTGATTTCTCCTTCCTGTGAGTTCGGGCGTTTTTTCAATATCGATCCGAGTACAGAAGACGGCGCACCAAATTGCAGCACCAAAAGCTACGGAGCGTTGAGATGGAGCAATACATAAGACGGGCGAGGCTGGATGTGGAAGAAAAAAATAACTGGCAATTTGTGAACAATGGGAGGATGACGAAATTAGGGGCGCATGTGTAGTGGCGCGACTACGGGCGAGTAATTCGTCGATTGCTTGCGGAGTGTTGAGTGGTTTCGACTCTTGCTTCGCATGGTCGAGGAACTGCGAAAGTAATATTGAGGCATGCCGCACGATACGATACACGGTTCGACTCCCTCACGCCGGGAGTATCTTAATTCTTGTGGAGGACGTTTGCTGCGGAATACCCTTGGCACTTGGACGATACCTTAGATGGCTCTTCGTTCTCATCGTCGACTCTATGTCAGATAGTATGCCTGCCGCGGCCGTAAATAAAACGGAAAAGAGTAAAAAATCTCTACAAAATTTTTGTCACTATCTTTCTTTTTTTTTTTGGTCTAATTTTACGTGATTTTGCGTATATCCTTGGAATATCCTGGCGTCATTTTAAAACCCCCTTTCTAAGAGGCCCCGAAGGGTTAGTGGTCTGAGCTGTCTACGGAAATGACTGAATAACCGATATCCACCTTAGATTCCTTCGCACAATCAAAAACCCACCCATTTTCCCCTGGAGGCAATAAACTAATGCAGGTGGACGGCTTTGTTCCGTAACGAAGCAGCAAAATAGATTATGATTTATCACGCATAACAATGCAGCATTCGACGCATTGATTTCTCCTTACCGCTATTTTGGCCAGTCGGGTTCGTTTGTCATAGCTGAATTTAGAAAAAATGGAACACGTAAATCGCGATTTACCCTTGTCGAGGTCATGTAACCCGGTAGAATTCAACTTTGAATCCATCATCTGGCTCATCCATGATGGATGATCCATCTAGCCTTGCGGAAAGTAAGAGATAAGTTGAGAAGATTGTGGTATAAAACACTCCAATAGAAGAGAATATGCTACGACGGCGAAGATGACTGCAGATCAGAGCTACATAGGCGCCTTTGTCTTGGCTGTCTGGCTGTGTAATTAGGCAACCAACGTGGGAAGACAAGGAGCCCCCAAATGTTAAAATACGAACCCAGCCTCAGCTGGGGATGACGACGCATATTACGGCGTACATACAGACACAGCAGGTAACTAGCTACCTATTATCAACTCGTAACTATGGGACAAAACCACAAGCAGAATATATCAGCTCAGTCAGAGGCAGCAAAATCAAGGGCAGAGCAAGGCGTGGTCACCGCTACCGCTACCGCTACCGCTCCCCTGCTACTAGACGAATACATACGGCGAGTCGTCGGCTCCTCTTATTCTTATTCCTCCATTTTCCCAACACAGCATAGATCATCATCGTCGTCATCATCATCGCCTGCGATCCTCGAGCGCGGCCGCACGAACCACGTCCTGCTGTACAACGGGTGCTTCAACCCGCCGCACCGCGGACACCTCGCGCAGCTGGTCCACGCGCTGCGGCACGCGGGCCCGGGAATGCATGTCGTGGGCGCCGTGGTCCTCGTCGCGGACGACGCGTATCTCAAGTGGAAGCTTGCTGCTGGGCAGCGCGGCGCGCTGCTTCTCGGGCTGGAGCAGCGGATTCGGCTCTGGGACGAGGAGCTTGCGCTGGTGGAGGAGGGGGCGCGGTGCTGGGTGCTCCCGGAGGTGATGTGGCCTCAGTACGCGGATGGACTAGAGGGGCGGTTTGAGAGGGATGGGGTTGATGTTGAGTTTGTGAGGCTTGCTGGCGGCGATAAGGTAAGTGTTGCGGCCGTAGAGCACGGGGTGTGGGGGTGTCGGGATATAATCACCTCGGACGTTAGTCGGCCTGTTGATTTCTACTCTGGCGGTGTCGGCGATGTTGCTTTGCCGATGCCGCTGCGCCGTCATGGTGAATGGAAGAAGGTGGTGGGAGAGATGCAGGGGGAGAAGGATGGAAGGGATGAAGAGGTTGTCAGTAGTGAGACGCTCACGACTGAGTCGACGATTATATCGTCATCTTCAACTTCGACATCCGCCCCTCAAACTAGCACAACAACTGCCATCACACCACAAACTAGCAGAAGCGTATGGACCTGCGGCCATGGCCCAAGCGGCAGCTATCATAACGTCCGGTTCATCGCCAGCAGCCACGACGAGCGCGTCGACCCGGACCTAAGCTCGACCAAGATTCGCGGTATCATAGCCGCCGGCAAGAAGCTCGACGTTGGCCAGCTCGAACAGAGACTACGGGGTATAGCGCTTAGTCCGTGGCTGTTAGCACGGTATATTAAGGAGGGCTCCTAGGTAAGGAGGTATGTGCGAGCCATAGGTAAGGACAACATCTGCATTAAGGCTGGAGAGCAGATGAAATGATGCGGACAGGGATGAACTAGAGACAGCTCAGGAGGAGGAATAAGCCTCGAGAAGGAGAAGTAGGCATATGTCGAGATACTTACGGCCGGGGCTTTGAGGGTACCTGCTTCGTACACACATAACGAATTCGACCTGTTCGAGGAAACATATCATGGTCGGTTCGGCAATAATGATTCTACATTGCATCTGAGATCATAGCACGAAGAACCTGATACGCCTACAGTAAGAATAAGAAATAAGACATTCTTCCATTCTTAAGGCTCCTACATTAGGTAGTTATTTCCACACTTCTGGAGCAACTAGGGGCTTGTAAGTAACAGCGAGGCTGGAACAAGTATACGTCTCCATCATCGACTGAAGATTGCATCTACGAAATATAATGTGCATCATAACATATAATCATATTTGGCATAAGAAACTTTCGAGTAAGGGTTGTTTAATACTGAACTATGATGAACTTTTTTCCTTCTGCCAACCCCTTTTCCCGCCTTACAAAGGGCGACCGCCAACCCCTCTTAGTCGCTCTATTTTCTCCCCTACCTGAACCCCCTACATAGGTCAGCATGAAGTTCTTCGCAATATATTTCTTTACAATACGGAATAAAAACGTCTAGGTCGAAATAAAGTATTCTAAAGAAACGCAATAATAATTACCGTTCACATTAATACCGAACCCTACGTTGAAATCGTTAACTACCTTTTACAGTATACAAGTAGTAGGTAGCAAGGGATAAGTTGTTTCCTATTCATTAGCTACTAACAGTAGTCTTGCCAGACATCACCTACAGCTTAATTAAGTCTAGCATAGTCGTGATTGTATGAAGCACTGTACCGGCTCCCAAAAGACAAAATTCCAACTCCAAAAAAAAAAAAGTTCCAAAAAGGACAAGGTGACCGTCTCACACCCTGATAAATAGTATGATAACCTCCTCGGTCGTAATGTTTTCAAGTTTTCTTTATTCCTAATATCCCACTTTCCTCATCCTATTCTCTCTCACGGATTCCTTATGATCATGTTCCTATTTTCCTTTTACCAAATCCACACTGGGCGGATTCGCTGCCGCCGCGGATCCACTGACGTTGAGGTATTAGTAACGATAACGGTGTTAGTGATGGTGGTAGTACTAGCGATGATAGTAGTACTAGTGATAGTAGTGGGTACCTCTTCCACCTCTAGCTCAAGTGTAATGGACGGCTCCCCGTGGCTTCTCATATCATCTTGTATCATAGTAGTCGGCCCTTTCTCACCGTCGGGCTCTGTCCATTCAATCATAGAAGCTAGTGTTGCCATTGAAGGAGAGTGAACCCCGCCGTAGGGAACCGCGCCAGGAGGTGATGTAAAACTGGATGTCTGCGTGTTAGCTGTCTCCGGACTCGACCCCACACCGCCGACGTTGGGATCCGATGTTGTCGGCTGGGCTTCACCGCCGTTAGTTCCAGTCGGCGCCGTATTTGCGTTCGAGCCCGGTGCGGTCAATACAGAACTCCCCCCAGTATTAGGACTTGATTGTGTCCCTGAACCTTGCCCGCTAGGTGTGGAACCTCCATTCACCGACGGGTTGAAGGTTGGGTTAGACTCTGAGCTGGCCGGGTTACTATTTTCATTGCCTCCGTTTCCGGTAGATCGCGTGCCTTGTCCTTGTGTGTTAGACCCACTGCCCCCATTCGCCCAGGGGCTCGAAGTAGGGCTGAAGCCCTGTGTTGAAGGGGTGCCTTGATCTTCTCCATCTGACCCATTGCTTCCTCCGTTGCTTGATGAATTTGGAGTAGCCAGCACATTTGTGGCTGTATTTAGACTTCCCAATCCACTGTTAGGCGACGTAGCTGAACCTTGACTTTGGATACCGCCTAGGTTGGAGTTTCTATTGTTGTCTGGCGAGTTACAACTTGGATCTGTAGATCCCGAAGTACACGAGTTACCGTTTGAACCACTATTCGGGCTTGATAAGGTCGACTGGCTTTGACCCCCTAGGGTAGCTCCGCCCCCATTATTTGGTATCGAAGAACTTGGATTATTACTCGTCTGTGGATTAGAACCTACCCCGCCGTTTGGTGAAGCGCTTGCTTGTGATGTGTGGGGTGTTGCAGAGCCTCCGTTATCCCCGCCTCCGAATGAACGGCAAGCCGGGTCACTGGAACCTTGCGTACAAGCTCCAGATGCTCCGCCATTGTTTGATGGGGTGCTATTAGGGCTGGGGCCGGCTGATCCGTTGCCTTGGCTGGGAGAAGTCTGTCCTGAGTTGGAATTACTTTCTGGTGAATTGGCTGTAGGGCTAGGAGATGGATTCCCTTGTCCATCCCCCATAGAGGTCTGTGTCGGGGTTCCACCATTACTTGATTGGTGAAGAGTTCCTTCAGCCTGGCTAGGCGAAGTTTGACCTTGGTTACTACCACTTCCAGGTGAACTATCCGTAGGACTCGAGCCGGCCGATTCATGACTTTGGCTAGGTGCTTGCCTGGAATGACTATTGTCACTTGATTGATTACTATTAAGACTTGGGGTTGCTGCTCCTTGACCTTGACCCTGGCCGTTCGGGCTAGTAGAAGACACATCGGAATTACTACCAGTAGAAGGTGAAGCCGGAGGGCTGGGATTTTCCCCAGTTGTTACTGAACTGGCACCTCCATTTCCGCTGCTAGGAGCTGAACCGAGACCACTGTTTTGGCTTGGCATACTTCCGTCAGAAGGCGAACCGTGCCCTGATCCCGTAGGGTTCATATTGCCTCCATTATTTGGGGAAGTATTCAAGCTAGAGCCAAAAGTTGGACCTCCACTCATTCCATCGTTTGAGGCTGAATTGGGCCTACCACCCTGACCGAAGCTGCTGCTACCAGCTTCGTTGGTTGCTGAGCTAGGGCTGGCCCCTGGGCTTCCATTTGGAGATAGTGTGAGGCTACTCCCCGGTGTAGTTGGACTTGGCCCTATGTCTCCATTTGTGTTCGAAGACGATCCACCACTCCCAGGGCCTGGAGTGGTTCCGCTATTATTGGGCGGTGAGTTACCGCTACCGCTGTTACTTCCAGGTGAAGTCGGACCAGCGGCGGAACCCCCACTTGGAAATGATCCTGGTTCTTCTGTACACCGCCCCGAGGTGACGCCACCGCTTCCATTCGGCGGTGTTGCTGAGGCGCCTGGAGTAGAACCTCCGTTCGCACTTGCAGGTACCGCCGAATTTGAACCCATATTATTAGGCAGTTCTCCCTGTGCACTGGGCATGGTAGGACCTGGTTCCGTTGGTTGTGTCAGGCTTGATTGAGGGGGGGTTCCAGGTGAGGAAACTGTAGACGATATAGTTCCAGGCCCATTCGTAGCTGGTCCGCTTGATCCTGCGCATGTTTCCGGACCTAAAGTTGGCTGGGGGACACAGAACCATCCTCCGTCGCAATGAGCACAAGGCCAACCAAACCCGCAAGGCGCAGGCTGTGCCGGAGTCTGAAGAGGTGGACAGAACCAGCCGTCGAGACATTCGTGACAAGTATAACCAGAGCCAGGACATGGCCCTCGAGTGCCAGGAATCCCGGACGGAGAGGTAGTAGTAGCACCGCCAATACCACTAGCATTTGGGCAATGGCAAGTCGGAGAAACACATTCGGGGCAAGGCGGGTTAGTTGGGCACGGCTGATTGTCGTAGATGGCTAGGGTAGGAATTCTACCAGCTCTATACGCTCATTAGTTACGTAGAATTACCTATCTAGGTAGTTAATACCTCTGGACAAACTTACAAGAAGATCGTCTCAGTCAATGTTGAATGGCAATCCTCTATTACGGTGACTATCCTATCGACTAGTACAAGTGAGCGTGGGTCATTAAAAATCCAATGAATAGCTATGGAACCTACCATAGGTAGTGACTGTCTCGAGAATGATTTCTAAACGTGATGGTATAGGTGTCGTCAACGATAGTTGAAAATCAGTGGTAGCCAGATCATCCGAAATAACAGAGCTGTCAATCGTATTAGTTATGCTATCGGGACCACTGCTAACTATCTCAGAACGCCTCCTTAGGATTGATGCTGAAAGGTCGTCTGCAGGGTCCGTAGCGGTTTTCTGAACGACACTCTCTACAGCCGAATTTGGATCTCCGAGTAAGCTCGCCACAGTATCTAGAGAATTAGGGGCTCTCTGTTGGCGGGCTTCGACCTGGTAAGCCCATTGTGCAACATTAGTAACTATAAATTCTCTCGCAGTCTGTCCCCTTGAATTCGTTCTATTGACGATTATAGGCGCCGCTAAGGGGACTAGTCTGTCGAGTATACCACCAAGCCTGCCCGTAAGGACTGGAGCCGTAGAACTCGTGGGTTCGGATAATGTAGGAACGGGTAAAACTGGCTGATCCGTCAACAAAATAGGTATCCCTTCAGAAGGACTGATACTTGACGAATTAATCGTCGATATAGAGTCGCCCAGATGAGCAGTTATGGCCGTCGTGCCCATAATAAGGTTCCTGGAGGTCATATTAGAGAAGCCGTCTATATTAATACCACGTTTCCTGTGGCGATATTGCCATCTACTATCATTTGCAAGCAGCTGCTTAGATAGGACATCGCTCCCCGTCGACAAGTTGCGATTCTCGAACGTTAGATTAGCAAAACCGGGATGGGCAGATGCCGCAGCTAGTGAAAAAGAGGAAAACACAGTCGTTATAAGCAAGTATCCCGCTATTCCTAGAGATGGGAGTGGCATTTGGAATGTGTAATGTCTCATAAGGGCTTCAGACAGGCGAAAAAAGGATTCGTGGTTCAGAAGGAGTTGTGGTAGAGCCAAGTTCAAAATTGAGCCAAAATGTCAGACCAAAAAGACCAAAACTGACGATAGTTAGGGCAGAGGGAGATCTAGTAGAGAGATGATATGAGTGAGAGTATGAAATGGGATTGGTATGGATTCGGAACTTGATCTAGCTAATGTTATACTTAGCTGTTGCTACTCCCCCTTCTCTAATATAAGTGCAGTAGGAACGACCTGGATTTGATCAGGGGAAGAACGGCTGGAATACAAGGGGCTTACTTTCCTACTATTGATACGTTATTTCCTTGTCATGAGTAGCTGGTCTTTGCGGAAGGTATCAATGGCATGTCTGCTTAATCTATGACGATCGCGCTATACCTTGGTTACATGTATGTACTACTATTAGGTACATAATGTACATAGTTTATGTAGGGATTTCAGGGGGCTCGCTTTCTTACGTAGGTGATATAGCATCTCCGTCTTAAACACTCGCTATGGGGCTTATAGTCAACGTCAAGTAAACTTTGTAGCTTCACAGCGCACTAAGAATGGATCATAGGTATGAATTGTCAGAATCGAGCTGCCATTTTGCTGCCTTAATCTGATGCCTGCCTACCCGGCACCGATGCAATTAAAAAACAAGAACGAGTCTACGCCGTATGCCCCGAATTCCGCATTTAGTATCGCTTTCCTTCTCGGAGAGTATCCGCATACTCCTCCAGCGGGCTTCTGATCAACTTCGTCTCGGTCCACAGGTTGGGTGTTAAGAATCCGTACGAGTTGGAGATAGCGGCGAATGTAGCCTTCAAGGTGTTCTCGAGAGTCTTGGTGGAACCGGACGACGAGGTGTAGGCATCCTCGATACCGGCAAGCTGTAGGAGACGCTTGACAGCAGGGGATGCGACGATCTGGGTACCACGAGGGGCAGGGATAAGCTGCAAATTGTATTAGTATTGACTTTCTTCCTCATCGGTGCATTTTGAACATACTCGGACAGTGACGGAACCGCACTTTCCACTCTCCTTGACGGGCAGAGAGTGAGGAAGACCAAGGTTAGTACCCCAGTAACCACGTCGGACGGGGATGACGCTGAGCTTGGCGATGATGATCGCAGCACGGATAGCAGTGGCGACTTCCTTGGAGGTCTTGATACCAAGACCAACGTGACCCTCCGAGTCACCAATGATGACAATAGCCTTGAATCGGGTTCGCTGACCGGCACGGGTCTGCTTCTGTACGGGCTTGATCTAAATTCGGGGAATCCATGTTAGTAATTTCATTTCAACACTCTCGTATTCGCAGGTTTCCTAAAAAGAAAATCCTAGAAACTTGGGATGTTTTCTGGGTTAAATCGTACCTTCATGACCTCATCCTTGAGCTTTGGCAGGAAGAAGTCGACGATCTGATACTCCTTGATGGGGAGAGAGTGTAGGTAGATTTCCTCCATGTTCTTGATCTTGCCGGCCTTCACAAGACGTCCCAACTTAGTGACGGGCATCCATTCCTTCTCGCTATCCTTCGCACCACCGCGACGGCCTCGACCTCTGCCACGGCCACGGCCACGATCGCCGCCTCGGTCACCTCGAGAACCAAAACCGCCTCCGCGGGCACCGCCTCGGTCAGCCATAGTGAATTGTTTGTGGGAGTGGTGGCTGTTGGAAAGTCGTTAGTAAGGTAGTGTGCGTAAAGCGAAAACTCCCGAATTGAGCCTTTCGTGATGGCGGTTTTGAGGTTGACCGAATTTCGAAGTTTGGGAATTTTGCGCGGTGGAGGGGCCCTACAATTTTGGAATTTCGTTCTGGGTTTGTGGGAAAATGGGCCCCAGCCGAAGTGGTCAATGCGCACTATCTGCCGATCACCGATAAGATTAGCTTAGGTACCGAAGTACATATACCCCCGAGATGCGAAATACATCTCATAGTAAATTTGAATTTCGCACCAAGGTTCCAAGTATCCTCCATCCACATTTTGATCATGTTTGAATTATACACGTAAATACCACCGCTGGAGCGATTACTTACCTTCCGGAGATAATTAAACCAGATACCCCCTTTTTTCTAGTGTCTCATCTACAGGTATACCGTACCTAAGTCTCTGGCATAGGTACTCCTAGCTCAAGTCTTAAACCCATCACACAGGACTGCGGAAATAATATGAGTTATTAGGACTAAACCTTCCTAATACATAGCCTAGGTAAATATTAATATGAATTAAGCTACGCAGAGATGAGTCTCCCTGGGTAAGGCATTGTTAGGTCGTGCTCGTATCGAGAATAACCTATAAGTCTAGATTAGAAACTTGACGAGATATTATATGTAAGAGTTACTAGTTATAACTACCTAACTTAGGTAGTCAGACATGACACGATGCACATATCTCGTACAAATGTCGAGTTTCATTACCGTGATCTAACCTCATACGCCGATACTGAGCCTGTCACCTAGGCCATGTCGTGATAACTGTGGATAACCTCGTAGTTGCACCCAGATCCAGGCTATATTTACAATAGGCATTCGGATTTTAGTAACCGAAAACATCCCAAGTCCAACCTGATAATTCCAATAGGAGTAAGTGGAGTAAATAATGCGTAATTCATGCTCAATGTAAACGATGCAAAGGGAGGACGAAGTGCGCAGAGTATATTTGAAGGCAATATAAGCACGACGAATTCCTGAGAAGGGGGGGTATCTCATCATCATTCTGTCCGCAACACAATCCACAATCCCCTACTCGTTCTTGCGGATTAATGAATCCGAAGGATTGGCTCGTTGCGCCCACTCACTACTCACTAATTAGTTACGTGAAAATAGTCAAGAAGTAAAAAGTTCAACTCACGTCCAACTGCCATCATAGATCCGCCGAGTCTCAAAAGAACCATACCCTGCCACCTCGAGAGCAGTATCGATGACAGCTGCTGTTACTCCGGTGCCACATGTCGATATGATCGGCTTGTTCGGATCTACCCCCTTCTCCTCAAATAACTTCTGTAGTTGCTCCTTGGGCAAGAATGCTTTGGTCTCGGGGTCGAGAACGGCACTGAAAGGAATGTTGATAGAACCCGGCATATGGCCGGACGAGAGACCCTCTCTGGGCTCGGGATCCTTGCCGCTAAATCTGCCAGCAGGTCTTGCATCGATAATCTGAACTCCTTCGGAGCCTTCCTTGTTATGCTCTAGGGCAACCTCCCGCACCTGTTCGAAGGTTGCGACGTGGGTTTCGTCTATCTTGGGAATCGGGTACGGGTTGCATTCTACGCTGTAGAGTTCTCCCGACTCTGTGGGAAGGCCAGACTCTACCCACAACTTGAAGTTGTTCAAAATATGTACGCTGGGGTGACCAAATACCCTAAGAGTCCATGCTACTCTTGGCGCACTGAAAATGCCCAGCTCTTTTGAGTCGTAGACAACTACTGTATCGGCCTTTCGAATACCAAGAGAGCTCATTGCTTCTGCGAATGTCTTGGCGCTCGGTAGCATATGGGGATATGGGCTCCGTTTATCGCTGACCTTATCGAGATCAAAGAAGCGGGCCTTTGGTATTCGCTTCTCGATGAAGACGTCAATACCCTTTCGCTCGTCATTTGGTAGGAACCATGAGGCGCATAGGGGAATAACTCGGGGCTCGGGACTGATAGGTGATGGCGGACTTTTCTTCAGAGCATCTGCCAGCTCAGCGGGAGTCACTAGGTAGGAGGACATGTTCCGGCGAGGTTCTATGAAACCAATTAGGCATCTTTGGAAGCTTTGTCGTGGAGAGAAAGCTCGCGTGGAGCGAAATATTGCAAGAGTTGCCATAGCCAGACCGCTCTTTTATGAGACTTATGCACTGTATGGGGTCGATTATGAACTCTTATATTCGGACGAAGTGATACTTAATAAAGGTCTCCTGGGCGGGTGAGGTCCGGTCGTCGCTTAGAAGTGAGCAATCCAGATCGCCACCACCGCCCGGAGAGATCGCGAGTGACGGTAATTGAATAGAAGAAAAGTGACGCTCGGATGATTGAATAAGCTCCAATTTGTCTTGAGAGCTTTGGTGAAATGATGTACGGTGCGGGGTCTTTTTAGTACCTACAGTTCGTCACTTCCTTTGTTTAACCAAATACCAACGGCGCAGCGGCGTTAATAATTTCGCGTTACGCAAGAACGAACAGCTTTGCGATGGCTTGAAGTCAAAAATCTCAATTCTCCAATTACGAAGTGGCTGCCCGATAAGCAAGGTTTGTACCTGACCAACAGAGGTGCCCGCTATCTATAAGATTCAATTGTGGACCGTGGAGTACATCCCACTAATATCAGGTGTGATGCCGAACAGCCCGACCTATTGCGACTGCGACAAACTGAATGGCATAATTTCATTGATAACTTATGCACGTTCACATATAAAACTACGGTTAATTACATATTTGCACAATAATCCAGCTAATAGATTTAATTGCTGCGGTTGTGTTATAAATAGCACGTAACCAAATAAGACATCACAGAGACGTCCACCACAAATAATACACCGAGCATCTAAACCGAGCAAACCTCCCCAATGAAGGTCAAAATAAAGCAGTGGAACGCGGTTGCAACGTGGAGATGGGATCTTCCAGAAGATGATGTCTGTGGTATTTGTCAAGTCCATTTCGACGGGACATGTCCTACTTGCAAATATCCCGGCGACGATTGCAGCCTTCGTATGTTACCGCATAACTTGTCCTTACCCATCCTATGTAAGGAGGTATCTGGCTAACTTTTCTCAGTATCAGGAAAGTGTGGTCACAATTTTCACATGGTCGGTATTAGGCGAATTCCTTTTTCTGCGAAAATTAAAAGCGCTAACACTATAAAAAAGCATTGTATCATGGAATGGATAAAGCAAGACTCGGCCAAGGGGCAATGCCCAATGTGTCGACAGAGTAGGTTGACCCCTTCCATTCTGTCCTAACAAACAGGCTTGTAGCTAATATATCGCGTTATTCAGAGTTCGAGTGGGAAACAGAAGCAGGAGTAGCTCAACAACCAGCTGAAGATGGTGAGCTAGATCTGAACGACGCCTAGTGATGAGAAGGCATGAGCACTTTTAGACACGTTCCAGTTTCCCTATTATAACTTATGGGTTTAATAAGAGGCTTCTATCCTTAATGTCTTGAGGTTAATAATTTTCTACTTGCGATGGAGTTGGGAAATTTATGAATAGTAAGTCATATTACCTCACATTATTACTTAACATCGCTTATATGTATTCGCCAGGGTATTACCTAGACAAGATCAGCTCTTAATACTAATTAACTAGTTACCTGATATCCAAAAGAGCAGGCCTCGACATATGAGTCTACATATGATAATATCAATGTCTTGACTCTTCTTATACCTGTTTACGCTTAGGTTATATGTACCTAGGTACCTTGGAATTGACTTTTCGGCAAGGACTTCCCGTCCTTGCATAATGGTGTTTAGGTTTCTTACTGGAGCACAAAGCTTCCCTTTCCCCACATAACGATAAGATAGAAGCTACGAATAGCTTAAAGTCAAGCGAACTAAGGCCAGCTGGGTGGATACATACTACCTGGTCAAGGCACATGTACCTTGCACGGCTTGCAGCTTGCATGACACCACCTGCGGTCTTCCGTCACTAAGGTACCTCTGCCCATCAGCAAAAACCCTTGGGCCTTTTCATCTATTACCCTCTAATGCATGGACCTTCGGAGCCATGATGCGCCAGCTTCCTCTTCATCACTTCCATCCGGACTTCTTCTCCGCTCCTCTCGAACAAACAGCCCTCTCCATGACTCTCACAGGCCAGCCTTCAAGATGACGGAACCCCCATCAGAACAACCGCCGATGGCGGACACTTACGACGACCAAGATCACGAGCCGCATCCGTTTGCGCCAATCTTCACCCTCGTGAATAATGCATCGACGCGTACAACCCATCATCCACATGTGCGCTACATCTTCAGCGACGATGACCCAGACATCCTAACACAAGCATTAGCCGAACTTGACGTCGGTGTCGACGGAACCGCCTCCGACCCAGCCTCGTCCAATAGGGCTATGGTATTAGACCTAGCACCCGATCCTACAGGAGGATATAGCGTTGCTTGGGCTTCAAGTTTATCGCCGTCCTGGGCAGTACTAGATGCGCAACTTAGCCAAATAGCAGCACCTTCGTCCGACGCGGAAAGCAATAGCGGTAATGGAGGCGGAGATGGTAGCAGCCGACCTGGTCGCCTTATGCTAAAAATTGAAGGCATAGAAAGCAACAGTCTAGGCTCGGAGGGTGGACTATCTGGAGAGGCAAGCAGACACGGTTCAGGCAGCGGAAGTGGTAGTGGAAGTGGTCAGCATGATCGTGGCCGAGGAGAGATCGAAGACTATACAAACTTGGTGGACAAATTTGATAGGCAGATGACCACGCTTCGGAAAATCGTCGATGCTAGCGAGGAGAGGCAACGGAAGACGGCCGCGGATACCTACGCGATGATGGAACCCACACAAGAAGTAGCAGGTGGGCTCCAACCGACGGATTGAATGCCTTGGAGGAAACCAATATTTATGCAACGCAAAGTCCGAACGATGCCATAAGATTGTCCTTGGGAGGTTTCTTGAATTTATTAGAACGGTGACCGGAATTAAATTTGCATCGTTAGCCTTTCAGGGCTACGGAGAATGATGAACAGGATTACAGAACTGCAGATCGTCGTCTCGATCGGAGGAGTGTTTTGTTATACGGAGCTTAGGGACCGAGGTTAGGACGGTGTGGCTTAAGCCTTGCCGCGGGGATTTTGGTCATGAGCGGTTCTTGAGTTAGTATATGTACTGTTTCTAGCATTATTACGCCTCGTCTGTGGAACAAGTCAGCGAAGCCTTATCTAGACGCTGATATCAGCATGCATCAAACCTCTTACCAGAAGCTGCAGCGTCAGGCCGTCCGGTCCGTTGGTTGGTTTTGTGACTGGTACGTGTGCTATGCACCATATAAGAGTATTATAGTCGCTGAATATCGATTCGCTTTGTCCCAGCTCAGAAAATCTGGCAGCTTACCTCGTACCAAAGCTTACATGGCGTAAAGGATAGGGTGATTATTATATAGTAAGTGCGAGTGGATATGGAGTTTAGGAGTTCTAAAATAGGTCTTAGTACAGCTCTTATTAGCCATTCCACGAGGGGGGATTTGGACAGGTAAATATAGAGTATTATATATAAACTAGTTACATTGTTCCTTGGTTTAGGTAATCTTTAATCTATAGATCATTATTCTATCCTTATCCATTCTCGATATTAGTATTCTTAATTTCTACCTTTTGTCGTGTGTAATGGGCCTCAAAGTGGTTGGAGAGTAGTTTATCGTGAGTGGCTTCACAATTCGTATTCATGTGTTTTTGAGCAACTATACGTAACAGGCTGACAGGTAGGTAAAATTGGTATCACGGCCTCTTGCATCTATCTCTGACAGTCAAGTGTAACTTAATAAATACAATGATTTGATTCGATTGCATTTATTATCATCTTACGTTAATCCGTAATGAGCAAGACTTATTAGTCACCATAGTAAGTAAATACACAGTAACTAGTAGCCCTGAAAGATCTGAGAATCAGCATGCGTGTACGATCAGATCCTCCTTGGCATCCACATTCAATTTCCGTCTCCGTACGTAATGACAAGGTTCACAACCCGGGAAGAAGTCGCCCGTTTGACGGTGCGACCCCATCCCCAACCCCTGGCCTTCATAAACCTCAGCCACCCGGCCAACCACCGCTCATCGTTCGAGACCTCTTTGAAACGCCTATTTGTAACAAAGTCTGCCGCAGATTACGACAACAACGCCATTACGACAACGCCATCATTACTACATGCTACTACTCTCCTACAAAGCACCAGTCTACATACCTAACGTAGGCTCCCTCTTTCGCATTCATTACCTAACACAATCGACAATAATAATAATAACATTATTTATTGTCTATCTGGGCAAAGCAAAAAAGATTCCATTGAAATACAAATCGCCCTGCTCTTTACTTGCGGGAGAAAAAGCTTGGCATTCATTTCTCTTCCCATTCTTTGTTTGCTCCCGTCTCTATTTCTCTTCGGCTGGCCTGGACTGGCGATTGTAGTGCTGCGCATTCTACGGCCGTTGAATTTCCCTTTGATTTTCTTTTCTCCTCTTTTCTTTTCGAGTCTGATTGTATTTTACGCTATTAGAATTCCTCGCATCTTGATACCCGAGGAAGAATAAGAAAGAAAAAGGCACAATGTTCGGAAAGACACGTCTCCCTCCCTACACTCCGTCGGTGAACGACGTGGTGCGCCGTCAATACGTCGAGGATGAGAATGGTCGTTACGTATGGTTTTGGTATACTCGGGTATGTATTTGAACATGGCAGCTCTGAGCATCTTTCTAACACCGTTTCAGACAGGCGTGATTGTCAAATGGTCACTGTTCCTGGGTATCTTGCTCCTACTGATGCTATACCTTGTCCTCGGCCGCATGCATGCCAGGAAGCTCATCCGGCAAGGCAGGAAACCAATGGCCTACCACGGCGTACGTATAATCTTCTATTAATGCCGTCTCATCGGCCGTGGTTGACAACCTAAGCTAACGTATCGTAGTGGCTACTTTCCCGCCAAGAGAGAGGCACCGTCGACCCGCAATATGCTTGGCCGCAAGCTTCCTACACAACCTACCAACAGGGGCCGGGTTACGGAGCTCCTAACTACGGCATGCATCATATGCCTCCTCCCGTCTACGACCCTAACAACCGACCCCCGATGTATGAGGGAGGCCCGCCGCCGATGGGAAGCACTAAGATCGATCCCGTACAGACCGGTGTAGAGCCGGCACGACAACCCGCTGGCGATGACTATGCACCGCCTCCCGGACCGCCACCATCTGCTGCGCAGAGATAGACGGTTGATTAGGGACGGATGAGCACGCGGGCGGTTATGTTATTTAATGTTGGGAAGGGGGGAAATGACTGCATGGAGGACTTGTCCAAATTCATACCCAAACTTGCAGTACGTAGCAAGAAATAGCACTGAATATGACGGATAACTTGTACGATTTGTGTATAGGACAATAATTTCATTATAGCCTACATGGGCACTAAGTGTTGCGTGCTGACAGAATATCCAAATGGTGCCGTTAAGTACGCCGTTTATACGCCCGTAACAAAGGATAAGCACCTGGGTCCCCCTGGTATTGCACCTGCCCGCCAGGGTATCTATAAAATTAGCCAAACTCCGTATACGTATAGTCATAATCCGTTCAGTCCACCTCCATCGCATCCGGGTCGTCATCAGGGGGGAGTCCAGCCCCGTTATGGTTCATAAATCCATTCATAGCAGTCGGCGTACTTGGCGAATTAAACGTGGATGGGACAATGCTCGACGGAGGTGCAGCTTGTTGTTCAAGCTCCTGCCTTTGCTTGTCCCTGGCCCTTTGTCTTGCTTCAATGATAGCTTTCCTCACGCTATCCTGCTCCTCGGGTATAGTCAAGGAGGTGGGCTCCCTGTATAAAACCAATTGCATGCCGGCGATCTCGCCGTCCTTGTTGGCCAGTACTAAGGGCGGGATGCGGTTCTGCATAAGATGCTTCTCAATGTCGGGTATAAAGATGAGGCGGCTGTCGGACTCGGACTCGGTGTCTGAGAGCTCGTCGTCCAGGTTATAGATGTACACCTTGTGTTTCGAGTCGTCAAGCTGCATGCTATCATTCTCGGGAATCTGGGTTAGCAAGGTGCATTCAGCCGGCCTGAGCTGAGGGCTCTCGACTGGGACGTAGAGCTTCTGGCCATTTTGTTCTACCAAAGGAAATGATGTTAGTGACGATGCATTGGCTTATAATTGGCGGGGGATAGATATTAAAAACCTACCGAGATTGAGAAGACTTAGTCTCTTGGATAGTCTTTCATTGTCCTGAGACTCGGCTTTCCTCTTGCGCATCTTGCGCGTTCCTCCGACATTGAGATATTGTTGATTGTGTTGTTGTTGTTGCTGCAACAAATTGGAGCTGGGGGAATCATTGACGTTGGGGTTGGGGTTGGAATTGGGGATAAGAAAGTAGTTCCCATTGATGGAAGCGCCTGGAACAGCGGAAGCAGGCATTGCGGTAGCGGGGAACTGCATAGCTCTAGGATTGGTGTATGGGAAAGCGGAATGCGCAAAGGCGGTCGAGCTAGGCCCTACTTCGATATCCATTAGGTATAGGTATCCGACTATTTTCTTTATCTTTTCCACCCTCTTCTTATCTAGTACATATACCCAATTGACTAACAACGGTAGGGTCGTGCACCGGAGTCGCTCTCTTCGAATAGCCGCGAGGAATCAGCGATAAGGTCTTATGAGCAATCGATTTAATTACCTTGGTATTTGGCAATCAATTCGATAGGACTTTTATGATATGATTCCGAAGTCGCAGGTTGGATTTGGATTGAGTGCGTAGGGGTCGGTACGTATTGTTATAATTATTTTAGGGGTCCAATTGTGGAAGTCTGGGGGGGTTTTTTTTAAGCGTCTAGGCCGAATGAAAATTCAATGCGGCGGACAGTCGCCGTTTATAGGCGGCGCATTATTGAGTCACTCTTGTAGAAGATTCTATCCTTTTTTTACACTTTCGGCCGCAAACAACGTTCTTCGGTCGGTTTCTAATTACTCCACAACGACGAACAAATCCGTATCATCATCTCGCTTACACTTTTATCTTTCTCGATCAAACGCATACCGATCCCGATTCCGATTCTCGACAACGAGAGCATATAACACCGTCGCCACCATGGGGGAGCCCAAGTGGACCGGCGTTGGCGTCCGCAAGACTTTCTTCGAATTCTTCGAGAAGAAAGGGCACACTATAGGTATGCAACGCCACGGCATCACCGCATGTCGCTTTATTACAGCATGCAGATGCATCTAATAATATACTTTCGATATTCCTCTACTAAATCATACATAAAAAAAATACTAATGTTCCTCTTTTTTCCCAGTGCCCTCGTCGTCTGTGGTGCCTCACAATGACCCCACCTTGCTCTTCACCAATGCGGGCATGAACCAGTTCAAGCCCATATTCCTAGGTACTATTTCTAGTTCGGATGAAATGTCCAAGCTGAAGCGTGCTGTCGATACGCAGAAGTGTATACGCGCTGGCGGGAAGCACAATGTATGATACCTCGCGACTCGGCCCTATCAACGTACTTGATTTTAATAACAGAAACTGCATAGGACCTCGACGAGTGAGTTTAATGACGACTTTGCTTGAACGCTATCGAAAGTCTATTTGTATGCTAATCGGAAATCCAGTGTTGGCAAAGACAGTTATCACCATGTAGGCACATACGCCCGTATTCTATCTGTTTGCGTGAACTGACTTGAATCGCAGACATTCTTCGAGATGTTGGGCAACTGGTCCTTTGGCGATTATTTCAAGAAGGAGGCGATAGGATGGTCGTGGGAGCTTCTCACCAAGGTCTATGGATTGGACCCTGAAAGACTCTACGTCACCTATTTCGAAGGCAACCCCGCCATGAACCTCGAACCCGACCTAGAGGCCAAGGAATTGTGGAGATCTGTTGGCGTGCCCGAGGATCATATCCTACCTGGTAACATGAAGGACAATTTCTGGGAGATGGGCGACCAGGGTCCCTGTGGCCCTTGCAGCGAAGTTCACTATGACAAGGTCGGAGGGCGCAATGCCGCACACCTAGTCAACCAAGACGACCCTTTGGTTGTAGAAATCTGGAATAACGTCTTTATCCAATTCGATCGTCAGAAAGATGGCTCGCTCAAGTCTTTACCGGCAAAGCACGTCGACACGGGAATGGGTTTCGAACGATTAGTATCTGCACTTCAGGACAAGAGCTCGAACTACGCAACCGATATTTTCACCCCCCTATTTGATAAAATCCAGGAAGTCACGGGAGCGCGGTCGTACACTGACAAGTACGGCAAAGACGATGTGGATGGCATTGACACCGCTTATCGTGTAGTTGCTGACCATATACGACTACTCACGTTCGCCATATCAGATGGCGCCGCGCCAAACAACGAGGGAAGGGGTTACGTCGTTCGTCGTGTATTGCGGAGAGGTTCACGTTATGCTCGAAAGTATTTCAACGCAGAAATTGGTTCGTTCTTTTCTAAGATCCTACCTGCGCTCGTCGACCAGATGGGCGAACAATTCCCAGAGATCGTTAAGAAGCAGCAAGACATCAAGGAGATACTAGACGAGGAAGAGGAGGCCTTTGCCAGAACGTTGGACCGCGGAGAGAAGCAGTTTGAGAAGTATGCAGCTCAGGCAATCAACAGCGGGACGAAGAAGCTTTCCGGAGCAGATGTTTGGAGATTATACGATACCTTCGGTTTCCCGGAAGATCTAACCAAGCTCATGGCCGAGGAGCGAGGTCTCGAAACTGACGAGGGCGAAATCGCCATTGCTCGAGAGAAGGCCCGAGAGGCTAGCAAGGCTGTAAAGGAAGCAGTGCAGACGTTTGCGAAATTGAACGTCCACCAAATCGCCGAATTAAAGGATAAGTTACAGGTACCTGTTGCGGACGACGAGCCTAAGTTTTTCAAAGGCGACACGACTGGAAAAGTCCAGCTTATCTACACAGGCACCGAATTCATCAAGTCAACTAAGGACCTTCCCCCGAATACCGCCTTCGGTCTTTTACTGGATAGGACCAACTTCTACGCCGAGTCAGGTGGTCAGGTTGCTGACACCGGAAGAATTGTCATCGATGATGTCGCGGAGTTCGAAGTTCATGATGTTCAACAGTTCGGAGGATATATAATTCACAACGGATTCTTAAAGTATGGAGAACTCAAGGCCGGGGATGAGGTTATCTGCGAATATGACGAGCTGAGGAGACAGCCTATTCGCAATAACCACTCTGGCACGCATATCCTTAACCACTCCCTACGAGAAGTACTAGGTGAAGACGTCAACCAAAAAGGCTCGCTAGTCGACCAAGACAAGCTCCGGTTCGACTTCTCGCACAAGGCGGCAGTCAGTCTTCCCGAACTTAAAAAGATCGAGCATTTGTCGAATGAGTATATCCGACAGAACTGCAAGATCTACTCTAAAGACGTCGAGCTCGACTTAGCAAAGAAGATCAACGGCGTTCGTGCCGTTTTCGGTGAGACCTATCCAAACCCGGTCCGAGTGGTATCGGTTGGTATCGATGTCGACATGCTACTCGAAGCACCGGAGAATCCCGAGTGGCGAAAGGTTAGTGTCGAGTTCTGCGGTGGCACGCACGTCGACCAGACTGGTATCATAAAGGATCTAGTGATTGTAGAAGAGAGCGGTATCGCCAAAGGTATTCGCCGTATTGTAGCATACACAGGTGATGCCGCGCACCGTGTGCAACGTGAGGCTGAAGAGTTCTCTAAGCGCATCACTGCTATCGATGCACTGCCGTTTGGCCCCGAAAAGGAGGCCGAAGTTAAGCAGGCCACAGTAGATCTCAACAACCTCGTCGTATCTACCCTGACCAAGGAAGATCTAAAAACTCGATTTTCAAAGGTGGTCAAGGCCGTCGTGGATGAACAAAAGAAACGGCAGAAGGCAGAGAGCAAGACTGCACTCGATACCGTATCCGCCCACTTCGCTAAGGACGAGAATAAAGATGCTAAATACTTTATTGGACACCTGCCAATTTCCGCCAATGCCAAAGCTGTCGCGGACGTCATGAACCACTTCAAGAGCAAGGACAAGGATCGGTCCGTATATATTTTCGGTGGCAGCAAGACTGAGGGAGCTGTTGTACATGGTGTATACGTCGGCACAGTAAGTCGAATTCCCTTCCTTCATTTACCCTAGAGGAGAACACTACTAACATACATGTCTAGCACCTCACATCGCAGGGTGTGACTGCTGAGAAGTGGGCCGCAGCCGTCACCGAAGTCGTCGGCGGCAAATCGGGCGGTAAGGAGCCGACAAGGCAAGGCCAGGGAACAAATGCGGACAAAATCGAAGATGCGGTCGCCGTCGCAGAGAAGTGGCTCGCAGAGAAGCTGAAGATTTGAAGCATCTAAGGTTCCATCTCGCCTACCATATATCGAGCTATATTACATGTAGTTCGACAGACAAAAGCTTGAGAAGTGAAGCCCGGGAACTTCACAATTAGCCGTGGAAGAAAAGAAAAAAGACCGCTCTAAAGAGCGCTAGCTAGGGCTACGATAGGAGACTGCAAGGCTACGTAGAAAAAGTACCACTTCGGATTCTGTGTTTTTCCCCTCGTAAGTCTTGGCTTATGTGGTAACTGGCATGGAGGAATGGGGGAATGTATTAGCTATCATAAGCCTGCATACATATGTATAAACATAGAAGACGCTATATCCCGGGCTAGTATAGAATTACTCATAGAGTTCGTAACGTATTATGCTACTCATTTGTGGTTGTGATATTTGGCGGAGCCGTCATCATGTAACGTATACCTTCCAAGTGTCATGGTTGATTCAACCAGCTATCGGATCTAAGGTATATATACCTATAAGGTACCTACGTGCCATGCTATATGCTATGCCACGAGTCACGAGCCAACATGACTTCTTCACCACACCATACCGCGACGCTCCTGTTCTCATGCTATAGAACATCCAGCATATCAACCAGGCATCTAGGACAGCACATCACACCGTAACCATAACGCTAGCATTTCGATACCAACTTAACAACGGATTCTCCCCGCTGTGCGTTCTCGTATCCTCTATATACGCCCACGACCGCATAAACGCCTCGTGCTCCATAACCCGCGTTAGCTTCCCCGTCAAAGCGCGGTACACGGCCTCCATAACGTGGAAGTCGGTCGGAAATAATATGTCGAAATACCCCTGGTGCACCAGCGGCGTCGACACGGGGACCATGCGCCGCTGGTACCGCGTCTGTACTACCGGCGCGTTGAGCCCGCGCACCGCGTCGGGCAGAGTGTGGAAATCGCTTGTTACTAGGCGGTGCGCGGGGAACGCGCGCTCTAGAATGTCGAAGAATTGCATTAGGCGCGTGGGGATGTACTCCGGGTCGCTGAGGTTGGGAGCGAGCGGTAGTTGCGTCTTGAGCCAGCGGACGCCGCGATTTGTGGGGTACGGGACGCGGTACCGGCCTCCCGTGGCGGCGTGCCGCACGCGTAGGAAGCGCGCTGCGACGGGGTCGAGCACAGGCTCGTAGAACTCGTAGAAATCGCCGTGGCCGTCGATCAGCACGGTGCCCTGGAGGGGCTCTTCGGTGCGCATGTCGTAGCGCAGGACGTCGTGGGCGAAGTTGTCGAAGACCTCCATAGCTAAGAAAAAACAGGGAGAGGGCACGCGGGCGTCCCAGTCGAAAATGGACTTGTTGATGATCTCGACTTTGCTGGCGTGTCCGCGGGAAGCAGCTGTGGCGAGGAGTTGCGAGTTCTGGAGGGCGGCTAGGGACGGCGAGATCTCGATGATTTTGTACTTGGTGCGGTCGTAGACGGTGGGCTCGATGTCCCGGATGTAGTCGAGGATATTAAGCATGAGGGTGCCGCGGCCGGCGCCCATCTCGTAGATGATGAGGTCGTGGTAGGGGTACGTGGTCATCAGGTAGTTGGATAGGAGGTAGCGAGCTATGGCCTCACCGTAGTAAGGGCGGAATAGCTCGGTGGGGGTGTGCCAGAGCTGGCGGGTGTCGTCGGGGCGGCCCTCGCTTTTATCCAGGGCGTCTTCGAATTCCGTATACCTCCGTCCCAGCTCGTCGTGAAAGGCGGGCTCGTCGCGCAAAGAGTTGAAGTCGAAGGGCTCACCGGGGCTGAAGATTACGACTTGCTTGGAAAAGTAGCCGTAGTGGGGGTTGTATAAGCTGTCCTCTATGAAGTCGCGCATGAGCATCTTAACCTTCCGCGGACGTTCCCTTCGTGACCTTAGGTCGTTTGCTGTTACCGTGGGGTACGTCTTATACTCCTCCGACATATCCTCAGGGAACAACTCCGTCCTTTGCTGCCAATGGCTCTCCTTCTCAGGTAGCCCTTTTTTGGCCCCTCTGACTGCACTCCGGGTGGCCATGTGCCGCCTCTGCTGATACTCGCACCGCTGTATTCTTCGGCCATGGTGGAGGCAAGACGACAACGCAGCAAGATTCCTTCTTGACGGACAGGCCGGATGTCGAAATAGCTGGCGGAAGAGCTGGGCCACAAGGGGGGAGTCCATGGTGTGGACTTTGGAGGGTTGGCTGAGGTTCAGGTTTTAGCGCATCGCCGAAGCTTTTTCGAATAGTTGAAGTGGGTTCCACTTTTTAACCTATCCCGCACCGACGTATTTGTACCTAGTACCTTCCATGCACACTTAAAAACCTTGTACGGTATATCGTAAGGTTCCCGACATGGCGTCACTGACGTACGTATTCAGCCCTCTTTAGCTTCTAAACGAGCAAGAAGTCACTTGACAAAAAAATTTAAAAGTTTCACCATTGTCAATTGTGCATAACTAACCAAAAAGTATATTGTTTTATTATTCTTATCTAAGTTAAAATGGGTGTGCTATTGTAGAATCGGGAATCGAAAGCGGGCTGGTCTGGTCAAATATACGAAAGAGGGAACAAAATAAGATACAAATAAGAAAGAATAAAAATAAAAAATGTCTCTAAGCGACCACCCAAAAGCCTACGGCACCGCCGCCGTAGCTGTCGCATTCACCGCTGGAGTCTTCGTCACCCTCGGCTTCAAAGACTTATACCCTGACTTAGAGCGGCGGTTTCAGCAGCGGGGTACACGGCGGATCCAACGCGGCGTCGGTGATACCCGCAGAACAAGTCTATTCTGGGGTGGTCCCGTAGAGCTCAAAGATCACGAAGTACCAGAGACCTTGGTCCCACGCGACGAGGGTGTCAGCGACGGCATTGAGGGGTGCATCGGGCGGACGCCGTTAATCCGGATCCATAGCCTCTCCGAGGCCACAGGACGTACTATCCTAGCTAAGGCCGAGTTCTTAAATGGCGCTGGCAATAGTCCCAAGGACAGGGTTGCGCTTAATATGATCCAAGTCGCTGAAGAGGAAGGATTCCTTAAGCCCGGGCGTGGGGATACCATCTACGAGGGCACGGTGGGCAGTACCGGGATTAGCATTGCGGCGTTGGCACGTGCCAAGGGATACCGCGCGCATATCTGTATGCCAGATGACCAGGCCCGTGAGAAATCAGACCTACTACACCACTTAGGCGCGACAGTCGAGCGCGTTCCCGTGCAGCCTATTACTTCCCCCGAGCATTTCGTGAACCTAGCGCGCCGCCGAGCAGCAGAGCACACAAACTCCAGCGCCGACTCCAGCGTCGGCTTCTTCGCAGACCAATTCGAGTCTCCCTCCAACTGGCAAGCGCATCTCAAAACCACCGGCCCAGAGATTTACGCGCAGACTCGTGGACATATCGACGCCTGGGTAGCGGGTGCTGGTACAGGGGGCACCATATCGGGAGTAGCCAAGTACCTGAAAGAAGAAGCCAAGCTCAAAAAGCTAAAGGTAGTGCTAGCAGATCCGCAGGGCAGCGGGCTATACAACAAGATCCGACACGGAGTCATGTACTCGAGCACGGAGAAGGAGGGCACGCGGCGGCGACAGCAAGTCGACACGATAGTAGAGGGCGTGGGGATCAACAGGATCACGGAGAACTTCGAGGCCGGGCGGGACTTGATCGACACGGCGGTGCGGGTGACGGACGAGCAGGCGTGCAAGATGGCGCGGTGGCTGGTCGAAAACGACGGAATCTTCTGCGGCAGCAGCAGCGCCGTAAACTGCGTTGCCGCCGTCGTCACGGCACTCTCGCTTCCCGAGGGCAGCCAGGTCGTCACCGTGCTATGCGATTCCGGGACGAGACACCTGAGCAAGTTCTGGAAGCAGATCGCGGAGATGGGCCTAGAAGACGAGCCTAAGCCGGATAATCTACTGACTCTACTAGGTATCGAGAAGCCAAGGTGAGGGGGATATCTATTTACGGTACCGGCCGATACAGGCCTAGGTTACAAAGTACATGGGATTACACTACTAGCTTCTTGTTAGGCAAATTCCCAATCAATGCCATTGATCTATGGTACAGCAGGTTGCCTAGCATCTAGGTTAAGCCACTTGGTAGGGAGGAACATATTACGTTGGCAAACAAAGCCAGCCCTCAATCTCGGAACAGCGCAGAGTTAGAAAAAAAATAACGTCTTCCGGCCTGGTCAACGAATAGAATCCTTAACTCCACGCAAACTCAAACGCAACCAATCTCAAAAATAAAGCAACCTGGTCGTCGACCGAATCCGAGACGCCTGCCATGAGACACCTGCCATCTATGATGCCACGGCGCGTAATGCTTATGAACCTCATGCAACTTCATGAGAGACCGTATCCGTGCTGCAATTTGGAAAGGCCAAACCAGGTAAAGATAGGTAGATAAGCCAAGACGTAGTGATCAAGAGAACTGTACCGGATAAGTTAGTACGCGTATTACTCAAGAAAAATACAAGTAGAAACATAAAAGCTCTAAACTTACCTTCCAACGCTTTCCGCAGTTCATACACTCGCAGAAAGTCGTCATCGGTTCATCAGCGCTGCGGGTCTGAGCTTGCGTGTAGCTAACCATCTTCTTCTTGCAGTTGCTGCACTCAAGACTGTCGCTGATACTCTTCTCGGCCATGGGGACCTGGGCCTTTTTCATATTCTCGAGCTCGAGCTCGGCCTCAGCCTTTCGCTGATGGGCAGACATGAGCTCCTTGGAGGTCATGACGACGAAACGTTCGGCGGCAATGGCGCCCGACATGACGTTGCGACCTAGCTCGGCATTGGTTTTGACCTTGAGGTTCTGAAATAAAGACCTTATCTTTTCCTTATACTCCTTAGTCTCGCCCTTGTAGGCCTTAAAAGCGGCGTGCTCGACCTCGATGGCGCGCATGACGACATTGTCCTCGGACTCCCGCGAGCGGTACGCGAGGCCGTTATAGAGAAGCCCGATACAGTTGTCGCGGACCTGGGAGCCGGTGCGGTTGATGTCGACCTTGTCTGTCTTGAAGTTGCGCTTCTCTGAATCACCCTCGTAGGCCTTCTTGCTTCCCGCGAGGGGCTTCGGGGCGGGTGAAGCAGCCTTGGATGCGGGAGACACGGAACCCTTTGGTACTTTGGCGGATTGTAGGCCCTTGGATTTCTTCTCCAACTCAATGCCTTTCTTCCACTTCGCAACTACTTCGGTCGCAATCTTGGCGATGTCCTTGTTCGCATTTCCTCGAAGCTTTCCTACGACAATACCCGCCTTCGTAGTCTAGTATATATTAGTATTGGCGCAAGTAGACAAGACAAATCAAAAAGTACACGGTAGAGGAGGGAATGGAGGGGCAGAACGGAGTAATAGAACAAATTAATCCACGACTTACGCGCAGCATTTCTTCGGTCGGCGAAGCAGATCGTAATGACTCGATAATGCTAATGATAGCAGAAGGAGGCTCATTGGACTGAGCGGCCTTGTGAAGGGCCTTTACGCGCGCATCGAGCTCTCTCTGATCCATGGTGGGCGATTTAGGTGATTTTCGCGTATCGGCGGAATGATGGAAAAGGTGTAAGAATCGGCGGTGATGAGAAAGTATTCGCAGTCGAAATCGGCGACGAGGTGGGGAAGGGGGTAGAGGTGCAGCAAGAGGCCAATGCGGTTTAAGTAGGTATCAAATATCAAAATCGGTTGGCGCAGTACATAGGCCCCGTTGGTATGTGACGTATATGTGAGTAACTTTTTCTTCCAAACACTGGGAAGTTTGTGTGAGCGACCTGAAAAGGTCAAACGAACAGGGCTCCGGAAAAGAGAATGAAAATGTCAAGAATGAAGCTTCTTGAAAAGCCGTTCACGGGTCTCCTTGGGCAGCCGCAACCACCTGCACCGATAAGAGCCTGCGCACAGACCACCGCTACTATATAGCATTCTGCCGGTATTTAGCCGGTCCAGTCGTAAGATTTAGCCTTATCGATATCTAGTCTAAATCCGCATTACGGATTAGATGGGCGGATGGTTAAATTGACATGGCAGTTATACTTTCTTATCTCCGAGTTGGCATTTAGTGTTACTTCGATTATGTCACCTCAATTGCATCAGCACGTGCTTCCTTTCCTCTTTTCAAATCATCCCAACGTCAAGATTACTTCAGCTTAAACAGAAATATGGATATATTACATGCATATTATTGGAACTTAATTTGGGAACCGATCAAGCGTTTTGTTTCGGTTTATTACGTATATGGTAGTTATACGTACCCATCTTTGTATTGACGTTTTATATTCCCTTCTATCTTCCAATGCTTCAATAATGCCAGCATCCGGTGGGAAACAACTCCTTTGCTGCGCAAAGAAGTATGAACCTATCTAAGGCTACACCACTTGTATAGCTTTTGTCTCGACTATCACAGTACTCCTTGGATGAACCTTTAACAGAATGAGGTAAGTAGCCCTGGCCATTGCAACCCCTGACAGGATAATTGCCTATGTACAGAGAATTAAAGCTACCAAGTGAAGCGGAACGATAGACATGACTTGTAAAACTATCACACAGCCCCCAGTCTGTCTCTTCGTAACCAGTTGCCCCTTAGCTCACTTATTTGGTATTGCTACCTCTAGCAATTGATTAGGTGGTCATAGGTAAGAGCATAACCATATACCTAGGAACGGTGAGTAGGTATGCCTAAGTATATTCATTCTTCCTCTACTTAACTCTATTTCTTACGCTGTCCTATTTTCTTCTTCTGCATAGGTAGCAGCTATCCAGGTTGACATGGATACAAAAATTGGTACGTTACCCAGGGTACTAAAAGATCTACGTATCAAACTATCAGGCGCCCCTTGGTTTTCCATAGCAGACATATCAAATCGAAAAGCGATACAAATATCATACGAAGATAAAGAAGGAAATTTAGTTGGCGTCTATTCTCTCAAATACGGGCAGCAACATAACTAGCTAAATGATGGTAAGCTCCTCCCTGAAGAATCTCTCAGATTCCTAGGGTCACCAAATTTTGGTAAATGCAAAGTCCCCTAACCATTCCAAATCACTCTACTATTCCAGAGGATATCTCTCGCGATCCAACTCCATGAGTTCGTCAAAGAAAAAAAAAATAGGGCATTCAAATGCCATCTCAAAGGCTTCCGGACAGAAAGCAGTACA